GAGAATGAGATTTTTCCCTTGGTTCTGTTTCTAATCTGAGTATTGTGAAGGCAAAACTTAACACTAGGAGAAATAATGGACTATTGTGATACCACGGTGTAGGACTGCATCATGATTCAGTAATATAACATAAGAATAGAGTATGAAGCTACCAGAATGTGTTGTCAAAAGGAGAATTGCAAGGTCAAAATTTAACATTTTGAAGGCAAGATAAAGCACTATGGTGACACAGTTCACTGCTGTGACATGAGCATTCAGCCTTGTGACAACACACTTGAATATTATGTCAGGACTTTAATGTCACAAAGAAGCTTTCTGAAATTAGGATTCTGAGAGTACAATGGACGGTTATAATGTCAAAATTTGTCATTATCATGGCACCAGAATTGTTGTGATGTTGCAATAGAGCAATATGGTGTCATATTTAGCATTGTCAGAAAAAGGAAATATTGTGGTATCATTCAGTGTAGATGCAATGGGACATTGTGATATCATAATGCTGTAGGATGTCTTACAGCTAGTAGTTACCCACCCACTGGGGCATGGCCTCTTATACTATATAAGCTGATGTAGAGCATGTGTGCGGCCTCTTTTCTGGCCTCTCTGTCCCGGATGTGGATTTCAGTTTATGATCTCCATTCCAGAAGAGGATTTGGATTTGTGAGTCTAACCCTAAATAAATAACCATCTATTTCTCAATTCTGAACTAGTGTGGAATTTCTCTTAAGCATCTTTCTTCACCATAATCCATCATGTAATAGTACAATATATGGTTATGATCTCAAAATCCAACACTGTAATGTAAAGTGTCATCATTGTAATGGAGAAATGGTAGTCTGTAAGGTCACAATAAAGTGTTCTGATATAAAGATATGACATTGTGGTACAAGAGTGCAACATTATAAGCATCATGATGCCACATTTAACACTGAGAAGTTAGAATGGAACACTGTGAAAGAGGCATTGTAATGTCAAAATGTAATATTGTAATGGTACCACGACAACTGGATACCATAATAGATTACTGTGGTGATGTCACAATGAAGTACTGTTATATCACATTGAGCACTGATATAATAACATGCATTATCATGTTATATTGTGGCATTATGATGTCAGATTAGAGCATATCATGTCATGGTGGGGAAGTGTGAAGATGCAATGAGTTTTATGATCTCATAATGAGACTTTGTGATGTTTCCATGGAGAATTATATCACAATGAATCATTGTGATACCTAGAGTTGAATATTGATTTGCTTTAATATAGCACTGTGATGTCATACTGGGATATTAAAGTTGGACAGTGGAATATTTTGCAGGTTGTGGGGGTACAATAGTGTGTCTTAATGTCAAATGGGCAAAGTGGTTTCACAATGGCAAAAGTGCATTGTGATGAGGCAAAATTGGTGGATTCATAATACTGCGTTGTGATTTTACAGTGGGGATTGTGATGTAGAATTGTTATATTGTGGTTATTTAATGGAGTATTTTGATGTCACAATGAAAAACTGTGAAGGTCCTTTGCAGTTTTGATGAGAAAATGTACTATTATGATACTGCAATGATATATTCAGATATTACGTTACACTGGAATGTCATAATTCACATAGTGATTGCACAAGCATGCATTATGAGGTTGAGTTAAATACTGTGATGAAGCAATAGAGCATTTTGATAGTGTAAGAAAGAACTATGATGTCATAATTGACCATTGTGATACTACCATGGAGAATGTAATATCACAGTACAGCATTGTAATTACATAATGTAGCATCATAATGTCATAAGGCAAATTGTAATGAAGCATTGTGATGACATGGCAGATCATTGAATTAATACAACTCTACTTTATGAAATTATCATAGTGGACTGTAATGTCATAATTATAAATTAAGAGTTGTGATGCCATAAGGGAACACTATGATGACACATAGGACAATTTAAAAGGACAGTGTTTCATTGCCCTATTAAAATGTAGGATTTTGTTATTAAAACTACTGTAATACAAGAATATTCTTGTGTGGCATCACAGTGTTGCACTGTAACTTTAAGTTGTTGAAAATTGACATTACAATAATCAGTTGGGCTAACAAAATGTTGAATTTTGATTTTGCAGTGTTATATTGTGCACACAGTCCTTTGTTGTGCACAATATAAGATACAATGTTAAATTGTGATGTCATAATGTATTTTTATCACAGTTCCCCATTGGGCCATGAAAATGCCCTTCAGGGTCACATATCTCCCTAGTGAGAAAACAAGAGCATGATATAGAGGAAATCCCACTGAAGTCTGGATAGCTCCCAATCTCTATCCTGTGAACTAGGCTATTCTAATGTCACATGAGACACAGCTGCTCCAGGTATCACCAATTACTTCAAGAGGAAGATGGGCATCAAAGAGGCTCCTCATGGAGTTTGCTAGTCATTTGTGAAAAAAAAAATGCTCTTGCCTGAACTGCTTGATGTTATGCTTCATAAACTGGTCATGCAGAACCCAACAAACATGACTGCTACAGCTGCCTAAAGTTGAGACAGTCCTTCAGGGTTTGTGCTTCATCAAACTGTCTGTTAGACATTCTATAGGACACAGAAGAAAGCAACTGATGGACTTTGCCATTACAAGGCAGAACAAATCTCTTTGGATTTCCTGCTTCATGGAAAAGTCTGTTGGACACTATGGGACTGTAGGCAGAAGACTGGGTGCCCCAGTGTTACAGAACTTTGGGTTATTGTCCAGGCAGTGATATCTCTATGTCAACTCCAGAGTTTTAGAAGTTGCTTTCAATGCACTTTCTGTTAACTTTGGTAATATATTCTTATGTGGTCTTTGAGGGAGATGAAGAATAGTTAGTTATAGTTACAGTTTTCCTTAGTTATGATAAAAGATAAAGTAGATATATTCTAACTGTAATTCTTGCCTGATACTTGTTTTGTTTTATGTAATTTTACTATGTTAAAATTAAAATCTTTCGTTTTATTGCACAGAAAAGGGAAGGTGATGTGGTATTCCACTCTGTATACCATTGGTTAATAAAGAAACTGCTTTCAGCAAATGGCTTAACTGTCATGTGTGCTGCCATGTTTTCCACCATGATGGTAATGAACTAAACCTCTGAAAAAAACAAGCTAGTCAATAAGCAGCATCCCTCCATGGTCATTATATTAGCTCTTGCTTCCAGGGTTCCTGCCCTGTTTGAGATTCTGACTTCCTTCAATGATGCACAGTATAAGCCAAATAAATCCTTTCATCCTCAACATTCTTTGGTCATGGTGTTTCATCACAGCAATAGTAATCCTAACAAAGACAGTGGTAAATAAAATATTTTGCCTAAAACTTTACTTAAATAAATGGTCTGTCTAGCCACAAATGAATCCAAACTAGTACATACTGGAGAGTCTTTCCACAGTCCTTTACCCAGACATAATTTGGAATATGTTAGAGTGGAATATGTTCAAGTTTGACAGTTGTTAGGGAAGAAGCATATTCCACTGTTCAGAAAGTCCATGTGTATCTCAGTGCAGATGAGAATCCCGCTTTGATAGGTTGCTGGGCATATGTGGAGTGTATATGCAGGAGGGTTCTAAGATTGCCAAATGCAGTATGATAAATGGAGTATGTGTATAGCCCAAACTAAGAGTCTCAGGACACTAAGTGATTCTCTGTGTTTACCTGCCTCAGACCTGCTCAAAATCTCAGAAGGCAACAAGGAATCTATCAACAACCTGGAGAGAAAGAATTCATGTAATAATTTGGCAAGATACTGGTTTCATTCTGACTGTGCCCTGAGAACTTTAGTGAATCTGAATCTGAATGTAATGGGATCCTTTGATACCAAAAAAATCTCAAGATATGAGAGCATTAGGTTGGAACTAAGAAGCCAGCTATAATTGTTAGAGATCAGTGCCACTAAAGTGCTATTTTGTGTCTATGTGGAGGGTGTCCCCAGGGCATCCAACTGTAGGTTCCATCTGGAGAAGGTCCAAACTCATTTGAAGAAAGAAATCTGAACGGAAGGTATTCCCTCTTTCTCTAAGTCAACTAACTCTGGAAGTGCCTCCCAGGGTCAGCACATAAAGCTGGTTATAGGGAGGCATGCTCCAACTCAAGTTGGCAGCAGCAGCATCCATGTAGTACTATTTTAAAAGCATGCAAGATGCAAGATTGGTGGGTTTAGGAAGATGCAAGATTGGTGGGTTTAGGAAGTCCTGCTCCATAGTTTCTGAAAACAGCTGAGGCCAGGACATGTGGCAGTGCTGGAGTTGCCTTGGGAAGACCCTGAGAGACGACTGTGTTAAGCAACAGGAAAAGAAACTAAGGCACTGGAGATGGTAACCTGACAGACTTAGCAGAGGTCACAGGCCGAGGACAGAGTGAGTCTACTGAGAAAACCAGTGGTCCTCTGCATCAAATCAAGGCATAATAGTCGCTGCCTACAGCACTCCTGAATCTGGGCAAATCAGTCAGGTAAGGGGGTCTAGAGACTCAGTACTCCTGTGGCCAGAAGATATGTGGTTGATGTCAACAGAATCTCTGACTTGAGCTCCTGAGAAGCTATTGTTACTGCTTGCCTCCCCTTCACAGACTGCGAACTGTCTGATCCCCAGCTGTGGAGTATAATAGGCTTCACTAATAATTCCAAAACACCAGTGTCATTTTCTAAACCCGCCCCCCTTCCCCACTCTCCCATAATACCCATCTCCGATTCCAGTTAGGATTCTCATGTTTTTGTGAGCCTAAACTTCATGCACCCCAGCAGTGGTTCCTCATTTTTGTACCCCTAACCTGTGAGGAGAAGCTCTTATATGTCTATGTTCCCACGGACTTGGAAACACCTGATTTCAGGATTAGTGTCTGAAGTTCAGGTTTCATTCTTAGGAATTCGCAGCTCGTACGTGGCTTCTACTCTGTACTGGGTACCTGGGCAGGTGATCAGAAGGCCATCAGACTTCACAGAAAAACTACACAGAAACAACTCAACAAGCATGCTGCTTTCAAAGATTTATAATGAAGAAATAACCAAGCAAAGGGAGAGGAACAGAGATAAGAGAGGATGCCAGCCAAATGGTGCTTATGAACTAGCCTAGGAAACTGTCAACATCTATTGGGAGGTTAGGAAGCATCAATTAACACCACCTCATCATAAGCACTGGTCTGGGGAAAACTGGTGCTAATCTAGTCACATTAATTTGACCTGATACCAGGATAGAGTGTAAAGTGGGGAGTTTGAAACAAAGCAAAAACTCTAATTTAGTTTTAAAAAAAACATTACTTTCAGAAATCTGGAGGATTCCAGATAAAGAACCCCAACCTGATTCACCCTATCTGGGTCATCTCCAGATGACGTTATGGCTCAGAACTCTAGAAGGAGGACCCACGAACAAAGGAATGTTGTATCATCTCCATTTCCATTCACAAAGTTAAAGAGTGGAGGAGAGTGGCCCTGTGCACAGGAGGATAGGAAGGGTCAACAGTGGAAAATTCTTCTTGGATCTAGATAGCCTTCCTGCCCAGCACTTGTCACCAGGCTTAACTCCCATTTATCATGCATACATGAAACAATCGCACCTTTTATGATGCCATAAAAATTTTCCAAAACACTTTACAGTACAGAGAATTCTCATCCAAACTTCGCAAACAGTGTGGAGTGATAGTAAGTTTTGGGGGCTTCCTAGCAGACTCTCTTAGCTAACGCTGGGGATACTGATTGTTATTTGCGGTAAACCTCTCTAACTTGGGTTGAACTGGTGCACAATCCACACTTGCTCGTTCCATGCAGTGTCCCATCTCCTCACAGGCAGTTTGAACCAAGCTGCATCCAGAAAACTCAGGAGCTTTGCAGCTCTCCAGAAAGCATTACATGAGGGAGGCCTGGTCACCATACCACTGCACCTGCAAAACCAGATCAGCATTTTACATAGAACCCACTCTCAGGCTCTGAAACTCCTAACTTCCCACCTAGGTACTTAGTTGCCTCCCGGCCTCATCAGACCCATTCTGGACTTAGAAGAAGGATCTATGACCCAATTCCACCCAGTTATGAATATAGTAACATTCACCCAAAGGTCACTTCTGTTCCTTATTTACAACCCAGGAGCACTACCTCTGAGAAGAAACACAGAAACCCCAGAGGGCCTCACCTGGCCACAGAATAAGGACTGACTCAGCTCCATGGTGGACACAGGTGCTGACATGGCAGATGAGGCTGGTGTCACCTCTAGATAACTGAAAGGGAAGACCTTTATCCTATATAACTCTGCGTCTCACATCAGAACAGGTTCTGTCTCGATGGGATAGTGGGTACCATGAACCACATAGTCCCATGATATAAAGTCATCTTGCAGAATGACTTTGACTATATAATTTCTGCATGATGGATAGAATTGTGAACACTGTTTAGTCAGACAAGGCACTCCAAAGAGTTAGCCAGTAGAAAAACATACTATGGGCAGGCTCAAATGGTAAGCCATAGAGAGCATCTGAAGAGGGCATCACTGATGATGATCCAGCACAGCCAGGACAATCTTGCAATTAACTAAGCACTTGATACCAGAGCAAAATGAAGCAAAAGAAAATCAAAGGCCAGGAATGGAGTCAACATCTACAATCACAACACTCCCAGGGTAAGGTAGGAGGATATCTAGGAGTATGAGGACACAAAGAGACTTTATGTCATCAAGCAAACAAACAAACAAAAAACCTGGAGTGCACATTATCTGTTTTTATTTACATGGAATTCTACAGAATTGTCATGGAGTCATTTTTTCCTGGTTGATCCATCTAGGGAGGAGGAAGATGCACTAAACTCGGGAATTAATCAGACTTCAAGTCTGGGAAAGTTGAAACTTTTAACATTCCCAAAGATCCCTTCTGCAGTGTTACAGAAACAGCAAGCAACTGTTGAGTGTGGGGATTTAGGTCAGTCAAGTTGCCTGAAGGAGACTCTCTCTGAAGAGCTGAGATGCCCAGGGAAGATGCTATACTTGTCAAATTGCCTTCCAGAGAACATCAGGATTCCAGTTTTTGTGGGTCAACACATGTATTTGTGTAGGCTTTTGTCCTTTCAGCTGTCTTTGGTCATCCCTGCTCTGTTATTCACCCCTTAAACTCATCCTTCACCAAGATGGACTTTGGTAGTATTGTTACTTTGATTTGTCATTAGCTCCCTTTCTGGGATGAGTATGCATTTACTCCTATAACCCCCAGGAATAGTGTCACACAGGAGAATGGAGTCATTCAGTATAACAGAAGAACATCCTTAGCCCTGGAGTGTCAGAAACTTGATGGATGAGATGAGAAAGATTCCCATCATAACCTGGAAATACGGCTTTGGCTATTCCTAGTGAATACAGGACAGGTGTCCAATGAAACAGGATAACAACTCTCTTAACATCAGAAGATCCCAGACAATACTTTCAGTCTTCTTGAAATATCTCCCAGGCTGGAGGTTTTTGTTATCTTATCTCAAACAAAATACTTCAGACCACTCCATATATATCCCTTATCTGCAGTCTTATGAAAACTTTGGGCACTTTATCTTAATCACAGAACCCTGGAATATCCTAAACACTATCCATCTTTGTCTCTTGAGTCTCTTGGGTTGTTGGACATTATCTCTCAACCACAGGACTCTCTATTGGTCTATTCCCTCTACTGACACCCAAGCCACTACAGTACTCCCAGAAGCCCTGGTCACCTATCTTAATAAAGTCCACATTTTGGCACCTCTTAGGCTTTTCAAGCCCTTTCAAAACAATTTGGAAAATTAAAAGGTAAAACGTTGATATCACTCAGAAACCAACAATGAAACAATGGAACAAATATGAGGAAGAGACTTGTGGAACCAAGTGAGAGCTCTGGCTAGGGACAAGCTTGCATGCCATTCTAGGTGCAGATGTCCATGCATGTCCCAGGGTTTGGGGTGTTCTTTAGTTGAGGGAAGGTGTGTTAATGTTTTCAGAAACACAAACGAAAAGGAGCTAATCTTCAGATCCTGAGGTTATGAATCAGTAAACTATGCCCTATCTTGCCGTGTGACCCAAAGAAAACGCACAACACCTCTAGCTTACCTGTGGGGATGATGAAGTTTGAAGCCAGCAGTGGAAGCTGCCTGCCCACTGCTCAGTCCTGGACCATTCTCTGGATAGAAGCTCTGAGAACAACTACCACGCAGGTCAGGAAATCCTGCAGGTAAAATTCCACAAACTATAGGTGAAAGGAAGGCACATAGCACACATGTGGCAACCCCATATCTCTAAAAGGCAGCCTAGGCTGTAAGAAATCAGTTCATCACCCGAGAGTCTCAGCCTCCCTCTCAAGAAACGGATGGGCAGATCCTCCACGTCTGTGGCCTAGGTGACCTCCAGAGACAGAGTGAAAGTCCATTTCTTTTGATTCTAGGCTGGGCTTTCCACTACAGGCTTCACACGGTCCAGTGCCAGAGTTTCAATCTGATCCATACATTCCCCTTCTTGTCAAGGACAGGCAATTTGCACTTCAGGCTTTGGCCATATGCCAGCTTTACTGTTTCCATTTTTTTCTCTCTTATCTGAGGTTTCACTGAGATTTCCTTGAGGAAAAAAAAGTTGTTACTACCTTATCCTGCCCACTGGATTGCTTTCCATCTGTGGCACAGAGTGACTTTTTGAAAGACACTTAACTCTTAAAAGACAAGATAGTATTCCCCTTACTCCACATCCTCTCCAGCAAAGGCTATCATTGGTGTTTTTATTTTAGCCATTCTGACAGGTGTAAAATGGTATCTCAAAGTTGTTTTGATTTGCATTTCCCTGATCGCTAAGGAGGTTAAACATGACCTTAAGTGTCTCTTGGCCATTTGGACTTCTTTTGTTGAGAATTCTCTGTTCAGTTCAGTACCCCATTTTTAATTGGATTAATTAGAATTTTGAAGTCTAGTTTCCTGAGTTCTTTATATATTTTGGATATCAGACCTTTGTCTGATGCAGGGTTGGTGAAGATCTTCTCCCATTCAGTAGGTTGCCTTTTTGTCTTAATGACAGTGTCCGTTGCTTTACAGAAGCTTCTCAGTTTTAGGAGGTCCCATTTATTCTTGCCTGTTCTAATGGGAGCTCACCAAATCCAGCTCGACCAGGTCTGAATGAGAATGTGATCAAACCGGACTCTCTGATTGTGGCTGACAATGGGGGCTGACTGAGAAGCCATTGATAAAGGCACTGGGACCTGTTTTTATGTCATATTCTGGCTTTTTGGGACCCTAGTCTATATTGATGCACAGCTCCATAGGCCTGGATGTAGGGGGGAGGGCCTTGGACTTCCCACAGGGCAGGATTCCTGGCCCTCTCTCAAGAAGGGCGGGAGAGAAAAGAGGGGGTGTGGGGGAGCGGGAGTTGATTGGGAGGAGGGAAGGAAGTGTAAATAATTGATTGGAAAAATAAAAAATAAAAAAAGAAATGCAGAGCATACAAAAAAAAGACAAGATAGCAGATTAGGTAATCTTTGGGCGGGCACACTGATATGGAAGGAGCCTGAAAGGAAGGCTCCACACTGCCTTGAGTTCATGAAGTAGTACAGCTAGCACTAGCACAGATAAAACCCAGACCAAAACCAGGGGCCTGGGACAAACCTTGCTCTAGCCTCTTGTCTGACCACCAGATTGGTAGAGGTAAGAGACTCTCTGGAGGCTCACAGGCCAGCCAGAAAGCCTGGTGTATTCAATGCCAAATGAAGAGTAGATAGGGAGGTGGGATTGTATGAGCAAGGGAGCTCAAGATCATAAAAGGGTAACAACAGAGACAGCTGACCTGAGCTAGTGGGAGCTCACAGTCTCTGGACTGATAGCTAGGGAACTTGCATGTGATGGACCTAAGGCCTCTGCATGTGGATGACAATTGCGTAGTTTGGTCTTTGTGGGACCCCTAGTAGTGGGATCAGGATCTGTTCCGGGCACATGAGCAGGCCTTTGGGAACCTACTGTCCATGTGTGGATGCCTTTTTCAGGCTTGATGCAGGGGAAGAAGCTTGGTCCTGCCTCAACTTGATATTCCATGCTTTTTTGATGCCCATGGGAGGCCTGCCCCTTTTTGAATGGACACAGAGGATGAGTGGATGGGGCAGGGGATGACAGGAGTGGAGGGAGGGACCAGGAAGAGAAAAGGAAGGGGACACCATGCTTGATATGTAAAATAAAAAGAAAAAAGAAAAAAATGGAAAAAGATTATTATTATTTTTTTAATGAAGAGCTTGTGATTCTTTGTATGAGAGCTATGAAAACTTAGTTCACTTTTAGAGGTGCTGTTTTTGGGGAGTATGGAACCTTCTGGTGATGGAGGTTTGCTGGAGGAAGTATGTTTTAAAAATATACTTTTTTTTTTTATAAAAGAGGCAATTAGAAGCTTCAGGAAAAAAGATGCATTATCCTCAAAGAATGCTGAGAAACACAGGCCGGTCAACAGGGCCTTAAAAAATGGAAAGTCACATAACTGCTGTGTTATAGACACAAAGGTGCAGTTTAAATACATAACTACAGTGATAACTGAAAATCACACCGCTTGTATGTCTACACTAGCATAATGTGTTGGGCAAGGAGGGGCGGGTACTCACAGATAAAATAGGACAGTTTGGGGAATGGGGTTGGTATATGGATGCAGCTACTGCCTCCCACTTTAACTCTTTCCTAACTGTTTTGGTTTTCAGTCATGTATTTTTGCTAAGAGACACAAATGAGAAATAATCTGAATAATTTGTGGGAAGAGTCTTCCCTACTCCATCATTTCTAGGATTCGCTGAACCTTACAGATTCAAGCAGATGGTGGCCACGTCCACACTTCCATCCCAACACAAAGCCTAAAGACCTGAGTACTTGAGTAGTTGTGGGGGGTGAGACCATAATCGCATGTCTGTGCAAGGTAGACCCACCTGCATGACTGGGATCCCCAAAAGCAGCAATGGCCATGGTCATGGAGGCATCTTCAGGGTTCATTTCAGAGTCCAGCTGGTTTTTATGGCCCAGTTCTCCATTGTAGCGGAAAACTTCCTTGGAAGATGATGGTGCACGGGGTAGCATCCATGACTCAGGGACAGCCATAGAGGAATCAAACATGCTGTTGCTAGTACCCAGTGAGCAGAGGTCAGGGGAGGGGCATATGGAGGTGAGGCTGACAGGATGGTAACGTTGCCCCTCCTGGTACCCTTCACATCCATACAGTGACCTGGGGAACATAACCAAACCATGTGCCTTGATGAGTAGAGACCATGGGCAGGAGGGACGAGTTGGAAGGTGACTGCATCCGGTTTAGGGGGTGTGGGCTGAAACACACAAAGCTGTGGAATTTGGCACATTACTAATCATCCTCCCCGCTCATCCCTGAGGTTGCCAAGGTCTGGGCTCTGACGGCCTCAGTCACAGACACTTTAAAAAGTCTATTGCACGTGTCTTACCCTCTCTGAGGATTGGATGGGGGTGGAATGGAAGGGTATGTGAAGGGGATGGGAGAAGAGGAGGGAGTAGGAACTTGGATTGGTATGTATGATGAAATACATTTTAAAAATCTACTGCATAAAACCAGAAAGTGATTTGCAAGACCTTTATATGAAGTGAATAAATGATGGTTAGTATTAAAGGAACATTAGGCAAAAGCTGACAATAATGAAAATTCTATCAGCACTAAAGTGCCTTAGACATGATCAAAGATTTTGTTAAACATCAATCTCTGCCATAGCCTTTATGGCAGGACCTATCACAAAACCATTTCATAGGAGCACTCCTGTGGTCATACACCTGGGCAGTGTCCAGTCAGGAACTGCTCCCATGACTGACCATTGCTGGGCTGTATGCAGAAGGCTGTGCCTTGTCACAGGGGACCAGAGTGCATGGAGAGGGTCAGGCTGTGAGAAACATACCAGTTGCTGCTCACTCCATGAAGTAAACACCTGAACAAATGCTCAAAAAGTAATACAAAAACAATCCACAATTGCCAAAGCCCAGACAGGCTGGTTCATGGTTAAGGATAAATTGTATTCTGGTCTCCATTCAAAGGAGGAAGGGACCAAAGAGGAAACATGTCCCATGACTTGAGTTAATGGTACTACCTGAAAGACAGCGACTGTGAAGTGGTGTTGTCTCCAGAAAAGTTCCAAGTCAGGAACTGCAGCCCATGTGATTCTTGTGTTGTCTCCGGGGACTGTAGAGACACACTTCTTTCATATCCAACTAAAAACAGATCAGAGAGAGGGGTGCATTGGGTCCTAGCCTCCTTCCAGTTGAGAGCACCTCCACAGTTGTGGTCATATAAATATTCTTGTTCTTGTTCTAATTTCAGTGAAAACCAACAGTTCCAAACCCGGAGACTGATTCACTTCCCGAATCTACATATTGTCCCTTCCTTCTAGCTATGTCCACCTTCAGATGCACACAGCCACACCATGCTCCATCCCAACCTGACTAGCACTTACAGAAATCAGACCCTAAGAAGCCCTTGGACTGCTCACCTGACCACTGAGACACAGTCACAGACTCATGATGGTTTCCTGAGAGCTGCAGTGGTTCGGGACCACTCTCCTTTGCACTGGAGATTTCTGAAGTGGCCTCCTGGGCTCTTTGACCGTTCAGGGAAAAAGCCTTCTGACGTCGCCGATAATTGGCGAACCAGTTGTACACTTGCTCGTGGGTCAAGCCAGTCTCCAAAGCCAGTTTTTCCTGACCACAAAATAGGATGTGAGATATAAGTGTTCACAGAGGTGGCTAGGAGAACTCATACCCACTAAGTAAGCGTAGCCCAACCTGATCTCTGGAATGGTGACAGAGAGTGATCAGTGAACTGGTACACTGGAAAACAGCCTGTCTACTGAGCATCTGCTAAAGAAGTAGAGCAATACACATGTGCCCCACCTCCTGCACCCACTCCATTCTTGGCCAACTGAAGCTCTGAGTACCCAAGACCCTAAGACAGGAAAACAGCTAGATTGATGCTACCATGAATCCCTGGATCAGTGCCTTCACTGCCTCCAACTAGGAGCCCCTTCCTTGCTCCACTTGGACCTTTAGCTTCAGGTCATAGAGCAGAGGGCTGGGGAGCATCTGGGAATTAGACAGGGCTAGAAGTAGACAGTCCAACATGAGAAAACCAAGCCTGGCAAAGGAGAGGTCAGGAAAAGATGGCAACCACCAGCACCCTGGGAGGGGGCTGAGGATCCCACTGAGCTATGGAGAAGGAAATGAAGATAGCTAAAGAACTACTAGTGGAGGCAGAGCCACCCAAAAGAGGAAGGATCTGCCTAGGAGACGGACAAGGGGCTACCATGGGGAAGGTGGAGGAGAAGTAGACTGGAGAGAAGCAGGAAAAGCTGCCTGGGAAGAAGAGAGGGGGGGTTACTCAGGAAGAGGTGAGGAGACTCAATTACTGGATAAAGAGAAGCCACCTGGGGTGGGCTGTTGTCCTTACCAACTGGGCCTTCTTGGGATAACTGCCCACACCTGTGGCAAAGTTCTGCAGATGGTGGCGAATCTCTGGGGGGAAGTTCCGGTTCTTAGGGCCCTCGGGGCAGAGAGTAGGGGGTGGCGGGTTCCTGAAAGAGGAGGACCAGGAGGAATTTTAACATAAACTCCATCTGCTCCCTTCTCAGGGCCTGGCACTTCAAAGGGAAGATGTTCTGGGAAACACTCTCCAGCCCACCCCTGCCTTCTACTCCCAATCACCTCAAAATGACTGATTACTACTCTCTGGGTTACCACCTGGAGGCCCACCATACTATGCAGCCACCCAGTGAGTGAGCACAGGCTACCCCAGAGCCCAATACAACATGAACACTGACTCCCTATTCTGTCCTATTTACAACAGGTTTAATAAACTTGTTTCAGGATTTCTTCTTCCAGGTCCTCCCCAAGAACTCTTAAAGCTGTGAATCTCTCCCATTTATACACAAATCCCTCTAGCCACCCTACCTGGCTTATTCCCTCACAGTACACCACAAAGAATATTGGCCCAACTTTCCATATACTGATTCTGGCTTCCCCTTGGCCCTTTTCTCACTCATCCCTTGCACTCAGCATCCCAGCCCCTTGTGTTCTCCATTTTCCTTTTCATGTCACTCTTCCCCTTTTATTCCCTGTGTTGGGAAAAAAACTGCGCCATGCAGAAGGACCACCATTGTTTCTCCATTGCCTCTCTATACTGCATGGGGAATTCTGTGTTACTGAAGGAGCAGGTAGCCATTTCTCTCATGTCTGGGCTGACTTTTCCTGCTGTATCTCTGAATTTTTTCATAAATGGTGTAGGACATGTATAAAGATCACATATCTGTGGAACAGGTGCCATCCAGATATTTGGCATGCATTTACAGCCCAAAAACATCTATTCTAACACATCCCAAATACAATCCACATAGAACTTCAGAGCCTCCTCCAGGCCAAGCACACTCAGAATGAAGTGTCCTGCTCATGGTAGTTCCTAATCATAGAGAGTGCCTCCCTCCTACACTTCAGTTCTCAACCACAGCCAATCATTTCTAAGACATCACAGGGTTAGTTAGCATAGTTACAGTAGACCCATGTTCTGGTCACTGTGTCTATGCTCCCGAGGTGGAATAGCAGTCTCCCAAGAGGCCCTTGGAAAAGGAAGATAAATAGAGCCACCACCTTTTCCTGCAGTTGCAGGTTGAGGACAGGTCTGCATTTCTGAAGGCCTGGAAACGAACTCTCTTGAGATGTCTTCTATCTGCTCCAGAACACCAGGCACCATACCTCACCTTCCCTCGCTTCTGACCTTGACATCTGCCTGCTTGGAAAATTTGCCTGTGCAGGTTTCGTACTCTCATTCAAAGTTTCATCAGATTTGCACCAATGACCTGGTCAAATGTGACCCCTTCCCCACGTGAAGAAATCAGATTTATTTCTCCTCTTATGTTCTTAAACTTAGCTACTGGCCAGCCGTATAAAATCAGGGCCTGGGCTATACCCACAACCTCTAAGCACCTAGCATTCTGGGGACACTTCACAAACACGGGGACAAGACACTATGACTACTTAGCTGCAATCTGCTGGGCTGTCTCTGGGGTGACATTATCAAATCCACTGTCTCAATGCTGATTATTTACCTAGCTTCCAAGGATCTATCTAATACTGTCAATAATCGGTAAATTCTCTGACCAAAAACAAAATAAAGCAAACAAAAAACTTCCTCTGCAGTGAGAGTACCCTGTAACTCAGGATGCCTGCATCACTTAGAGCAGCAAAGGGAAGCCTACAGCTCTCTTCCTCCAGTAAGAGGCCCCAGATGAAGAACAACGGCTCCACAGTATCAGTGTCTCAGGAACCCTGATCTTGTATCTCCCATAAGAAACCTGAGAAATGATACTTGACTTTTTCATGCATGATTTCATTTCCATAAATGGTAACGATGATAACCTTCACATCTTGCAGTCCCCAGGGTCTAGCCTGACACCTAGATGTGGGGATTAGATGACCTGAGAACCAGGTGAACAAAACCCAATCACCCTGCACTCACTATCCCCACCCACGGGTTCTTCTTGTCTAATGATAATGGAAAGTAGATACGGTCAGGATGTCAAGGGACACACAGATATCCAGTTCCAACCACCACATCACTAAGGTGTCAGATAGAGTGGTAGCTTGGTAATGGGCATGGGTAATGCACGGGCAGCCCGTGCATGGTTGTTCTGTTGAACTTGTCTATATTGGGTTTCATGGTCTAAGATTATGAGGATGACTGATCAGGTCTCTTCCTCAAGAGGGCACCAGATCACATAACAGATGGTTGTGAGTCACCATGTGGTTGCTGGGAATTGAAGTCAGGGCCTTTGAGAAGAGCATGCAGTGCTCTTAACCACTGAGCCATATAAAAACTGCTAAGGTGACTTCTTGTCCTTGTTTCCTCAGCTCTGTTGGGGTTTGGATGACACATTCAGCCCTGGGAAGACCCAGGGAGTTATAACGAAGGAGAATCAACAAGTACCTCTTCCTGCAGCGAAACTTCTGCACTGGGCTCAGCCTAGTGACACCCAGCTTCCTCATGGTCAGGTGGTAGTGAATGTCATTCCAGAGTTGTACCAGCTCCTTGCTGCCTCCTGGCACCCGACACCCCTGTGGGGAAAGCCGGCTGAAACTGAAACCCAGTCACCACTATAAGCCCTGGAATGATATAGGAAGTCCTTCTGTATATGTGTTGCTTTTATTGGCTAATGAGTAAGCTGTCTTGGCCAATAACTTGTCAGAATAATGCCAGGTGATAAACCCAAACAGAGATATAGGAATTAGGTGGAGTGAGACAGATGCCAGATCCTTACCAGTAAGCCACAACCTTGGGCTGATACAAAGATGAATAAAAATGGGCTAATTTAAAATGTAAGAGTTACTTAGTCAGAAGCCTGAGCTAATAGGCCAAGCAGTGTTGTAATTAATATAGTTTCTGTGTGATTCTTTAGGTTTGAGTGGCCAGGAAATGAAAGAGCAGTTTCTGCTTACAGATGGCGCCAACATGGGCCAACTACATCCACATAAAACCTGAGAGAGCTTGGGAAGGAATTATAGACACAAAAGAACACAGTTAAGCACAGCTTCTTGGTAGCAGCATTTTCTCGGATGGGCTCTGTTTACTAGAAGCACGTAGAGGCACAATTTAAGAAAAGGCTTATTGACTCAGCAGTAGCAGCAAAAAATGTGTGACTTCTTTACAAGCCAGCTTCCTGGTTAGTGCTGGCAGCACAATCAGCTCTGATGTTTCAAGGACATACTGCTACAGAGCACTTAAATGGCTCCTTTTAAATTTTATTTATTTATTTATTTATTTATTTATTTATTTATTTATTTATTTACTTTTTGTTTTTCAAGACAGGGTTTCTCTGTAGTTTTGGAGACTGTCCTGGAACTCACTTTGTAGACCAGGCTGGCTTTGAACTCATAGGAGCTGCCTGTCTCGACCTCCCAAGTGCAGGATTTAAAGGCATTTGCCATCACTACCTGGCTTTATTTTGCCCTGCCATAGGCTGAAGCAGCTTTTTTTTTTTAATTAACCAATGGTGATATAACATAGTCACAGCATACAGAGTGGCCTCCTACATCACTGGAGGGTGATGGAGTCTGCAATTCACACCAACTCAGCCTATGGAAAATCATCTACACTTGAATCCACTTGTCTACAAACCACTAATGTTAGCCAAACATACAAGCCCTCCAGTCCCTACTAGGCCTTGAGGAGGTGTGAGCCTGAGTCAGCCAGTTACCTCACAGGTCATGGTAGACACTTCATGCCAGCAGAGAGCAGATCTGAGGCCTGTTTTCTGATCTTAAGCCCTTCAACCCTACAAATAAATAAGTAAACCTAGTCCTCCATTGAATCACACAAGCACAGAGAGCAAATACAGCAATTTCAGTATGCCTTGCTTTCCTTACCTGGTTCTGCATAATAACTCCCTAAATGAGTTTCTAGTCACACCCCAGGGTTTCTAATCACCAATGTCACTACATGTTAATCAGTAGTCACCTCAGTTATAACCATGCACTCCCTCTCTGTTGACTCCATTTTTTTTCTGGATGATTTAGTGTCATCATTTTGACACAGGCTGGCCTGTAACTCTCTGTTGCCTTTCCTAGGCCTCCTGAGTGCTGAGATTATAGGTATGCACCATTTTATCAAAGCTTCAGCTCAGGTATCTAGGTGGCTATGTCAAAGGTGCTCATACATTACATAGGCACATATCCTCACCAACACTCAATAAGGACTTTCTAAATAGTAGTTGTCAAGGTTACCAAGGTCTAACTTGGTCAAGTGAGAGTGGACACCCTGCCTGAGCTTACAACACCTTGGGGGTGGTGGAGGCTGCTGTGTTCCCACTTCTTTCTATAATACCTCTAAGATTTGGAGAGCTGAAAATTGTTGCTCCTGATGAACCAGGACCTGGGCACACACCAGTGCCACATCTGCATTGTCTAGCAGGTGCCGACGATGCTTGCTGTTCAGAATGGCTTCCACCAAAGACAGCACCTGAACATGGTTGTGTTGGAGGTCCCGACATAGCTTGCCTGCAAGGGTCACCAGCTCTTGTGGGGGAGAGTGGGTGTCCCCATGCTCCCTCAGCAGCCTCAGGAAATTCTGCATTCTGCAAGAGTAGCTCTGTCAATACAGAACATTCAGAATAATGTCAGTACTAACCGTTTTTCTCTCCACAAGTCTTCAGACCAATTCTCAAAGGTAGGTGATATGTGGGTCATTGGCTATATTACTTGCAAGGTATGATAACTCACCTTAGGAAAACCAGGGTGATATTGTACATCCTTTTTCTAATTCACCCAAATAGCTGTGTCCCTAAAGAAGATAGCTGTGCACAGACCATTTTGCAGGGCACTGTGCAACCATCCAATCTCACTTTTCTGAGCCTTAACCATTCACTCTGGCCTGGCCCTTGTATCTCTTTTTCCCTTCTATGCTCCAGGTTCTGATACAAGCTATGATCAAGTCTCTTTTTGGTCTTTGATGTGACCCCTGGGTTTTCCAGAGACCCATGGGTAACATAGCATTCACCTAACCACAGACAGTCTCTTCTTTCTCAGAACCAGGAATACAGATCTTCAGAATGAAGCGCTAGGTCCTGGAGCACTTTACACCAGGAGGAATTTCCTAGAGGGAGGAATCACAGTAATTTCTCACTGAATTAACAAGCTCTAAGAGCTCCCACCTTAGGACATTAGTACTGCATGTTGATGATCGATTTTCAGGCATCAACCTAATCAAGAGATCGCATTTCTGTAGAACAGAGGGCAGAAGTAAGGCTGAGGACTACTTTGACTGCACTCAGCCTACTGGGGCTGCTAGCAAGGACCTCCCTGGGGTTGGTTTCAGTGCACACTGGAGACTTCATCGTGTGCCTCACCAGCTCCCAACAGAAAGTTCAAGGCTCTCAGAAACCAGGAGGAAAGCTATCTCAGGCCCCCCTTTTTGTCCAGTATTATTGTTCCCTGCTGGCTGAGGACAGGGTCCCTTCCTGATGAGACGCTTATCTGAGGAAGAAAGAGGCTCTCTCCGAATCCCCCACCCAGGTTGGAAAAACAGGGCCAGTAACATGCTGTCAGGTACCTTTTCAGAGCACTGTTCTTTAGCAGGAAGAGGCTGCCAAATGCTAGACTCCAAACAACGGAAGAGACAGAAAAGTACGGTGCTGAACGCCACAGCCTCCCTGGCTTTCTGGATACCACCACCGACACACACCCTGAGGCGCCTCCCTTCAACACCCTTCCACCCTGACCTCTTCCTCCAATTCCTCCCTGACATGCTCCCCCACCTGCATCCCCTTTCCGGCACACCTACTTTTGTGATTTTTGTAACCGGAGCACCTGGGCTGGAAGGTATAGCTACAAAATATCCAAGCTTCAATCTCTGCACTTCCCAGGCCCGAGGCCCCGGTGGATAGTGAATGTCGGGGCAAGACACCAAGACCTGTGCTTTGTGCTTTGTTTCAGGATGGGAGGAGACTGACCCAGGATATGCCCTGTAACATTCTCACAGTGCCTAAACCATAAGGGAAAGTTGGGGCCACTCTTGTGTCCTGCACTCTTTGACTTGTCTCTGACCACATGGGAGTGTGGGGACTCTGACACAAACTCTAAAGGCAAGCAACCTTGGGGGCCTAGCAGAGTTCTCAGATATTCAGAGGGTGAGCATTCACCATATATGAAAAGAGCTTGGGGGCTTTGGGCAAAGGTGACTTCTGAAGCCAGTTTCAAGAGGTGACTGAGCCTGGTGGGAGAAAAAGGTTTCCTGATAGTTTAGCAAGTGCATAAATAGTATTCAAAAGCCAAGAGTATAAAAATGATCTGTTCTGTCCCCTGGAGATTCTAGTTCAGGCACACTGTAGATGGACAGTCTGAGGAGAATTTCTATATCCCAAGTTACATGTTATATTTGCTTAATACAATCCTGAGGGCAGGATTCTGGTTATTAGCAATCATGATCAGAACACTTGACCCTGTTACCTGGCACAAACTAATGTATGAATGTTGTTTCACGTTTGGAAAACAAAGGTGAAATTATGTACAGCACATTAAACCACAATTGCCCCTGGAGAAAGAGAATTTGCTGTTTTATTTTAGTTTCTGATTTGCTGTTTGTTAGGTGGATTTGTATTTTTTTTGTGTGGGAGGGGGCTCATGTAGACCAGGCTGGCCTCCAACTATATAGACCTTGAGTTTGGTGCAAAGACGGGATAACCTGGAACTCCAATATTCCTAGCTGTCTTACCCAAGTTCTGGAATTTCAGTGGAGTAAATGCTAAATCAATATAGTATATCTTTTAATTCTATATAAGATGCTATATATTTTTTGAAATGACTCTGAAAGAACTCTGATACAGCATTCTAAATTCACTTTAGTTGTGTGTGTAGGTGACTGTCTGCTTGTGGGCACACAAGCCACTGTGCGTTTGAAAGTCGGAGGACAAGCTGAAGTAAGTGGTATTCGTCTTCCACCATGTGGATCCTAGGATAAAACTCAGGTTGTCGGGCATGGCAGCAAGCACCTTCATCTGCTGAGCCCTCTCGCCAGCCCCCTCCCTGTTTGTTTGTTTGCTTGCTTTTTTATGTAGGTCATAAATATGTATGATTTAGGTTCTTAATTGAAGTTTGTAAATCCAGAAACTTCTCCAGGGCAGACTCCACGGCAATTACTATCTTTATATCTTTTATGGGGGCTATTAATAAATGCTCTATCTCCATTTAACTAAGCGTGAAATCAGTAAGTTTCTGCAGAGAAACCTAAATATTTTTCATCTCCTTTGGTAATTTGGGATCAACTGATAAACATAAATTTAGATGTGTCCATCTAAACCAGCAGTTCTTAACCTATGTGTCTCATCCCACAGGGTGAGAGTGTTATAACCACTCTCTTGCACCTTGGGACAGTGGACAGGTTAGCCTGTGTTTGTGAGCGCTGAGGTGGTCATTTATGGAAGAAGGGACAAGGGACAGTGAGAGACCCACGTGTGTTGTGGCTCTGGGGAAATTCTTTCGGCATGAAGTGCAGAGTTCTATACTTAGATTCTAAACCAGTACTTCTCAACCTATGGGTCATGACCCCTTTGTGTCAAAAGACTCTTTTACAGGGGTTGCCTAAGACCATCTTCCATGTCAGATATTTACATCATTATTCATAACACTATCAAAATTACAGTTATGAAGAATCAATGAAAATAACTTTATGGTTGGAGGTCACCACAACAAGAACAAGAGGAACTGTATTAAAGTGTCATAACATTAGAAATATTGAAAACCACTGTTCTTAATGGAACATAAGGGATTTTTCAAAGAACTGAAAATGTCCCAACTTCTACTGTTAGCCTTGCATGAAGAAATGTTTGTTACATGATATTTTAGTTGTTGCCTAAGAACCCAAGCCCCATTTAGGACATAGACCTTAAGAGAAAATGATTGCTCCTCAAACTGTGGCCAGTGTTCAACAAAATATTTCTGATCCTGGCAGCCATATGCCTGCACCCCTTCCTCTTCTCTCTTTTCTTGATATTTTGATAGCCTTGAAAGTTATCTCTAGGCTAAAATATTGTTTTTCTCTCTTCTAAAATCATTTCATGGGAAAATGGTCTTTTATACTGTTACTTGTATTATTTTTAATAAAATACTGATTGGCCAGTAACCAGGCAGGAAGTAGAGGCAGGGCAACAAGAATTCTGGGAGAGGAAAGCTCAGTCTGCAGTGCAGAGGAAGCAAGATAGCAAGATGTGACTGACTTGCTGAAAAGGGTACCAAACCATGTAGCTATCACAGACAAGAATTATGGACTAATATAAGAGTTAATAAGAAGCCTGAGATACTAGGCCAATCAGTTTATAATTAATGTAGAACTCTGCATGTTTCTTTGGAATGAAAGACTGCAGGATCAGGTGGGACAGAAACCTCAGTCAACACTCAAACTGTGGCTAGTGTTCAGCAAAATATTTCTGATCCTGGCAGCTATACACATGAAGGAATGACCTCCATGCACCGCATCCCTCACTCTTCTCTTTCCTTGACATTTTGATAACCTTGGAAGTTATCTCTAGGCTAAATATGTTTTTTCCTCTCTTCTAAAAATATTTTATATGTATGAAAAGATGTTCAAGCATCACAATGTTACATTAAGACTGTCTTATATCCAAACAAATATGATACTGTTCAAAACCTAATCAGAGGCTAGAGATATGTCTTAGCTGTTAAGAATATTGGTTGCTCTTCCAGAAGATCTGATTTCAATTCCCAACACCCATATGACAGCTCACATGTGTCTGTAATTCTAATTCCAGGAGATCCAACAGCAAAATATCAATGCACATTAAAAAGAATTGAATGGTGGTGACATACACCTGTAAGAGGTAGAGCAGGGAATCTCTGGGTTCAGGGTCATCCTGGTCTGTAGAGTGAGTTTTAGGACAGCCAGGGCTATATAGAGAAATCTCATCTTGAGAAAAACCTAATAAGAGACTTTCCTTTGCTGCAGAATAAAAGAAAACCTTAAATGTTAAGTAGAACCATTTCCAGAGAATGAATGAGATGCAAAAAATCTGTTTTTTTAAATACATAACTGTCAAATTTTAATTAAAATTTAATTATATCACTTCCCCTTCACACCCTCTCAAGTTGATGGCTTCTTTTGGTTTATTTTGTATATATGCGTACTCACACATGCACACAAAGAGGACACCTGTTAGTATCTGGTATCTTCCACCATTTCTCGTATGTTGTTTTGAGGCAGGGACTCTTAGTGAACCTGAAGCTCATCATTTCAGCAGGGCTGGGGTGACCAACAAGCCCTCAGGTTTTGTGCCTGCATCTCCACCTTCAGGCTTCAAGTATAGCTAGTGCCTTACCCACTGAGTACTCTCCTCAGCCTCCTCTCGCTCTCCTATAAGGTTTGATTGTAGGGTGGCTCTAAAGAATTCTTCAATGGAATTACAAAGATGAATTGATAAAGCTGAAGGATGAGCAAGAAGGGATTTATAACATGTTTTTTATTGTAAGTGGGGCTCCTAGTGAAATTCTTAGAAAACTGTAATTTGTAGCCAGGAAAGGAGAAAGGCCTTAAGCAAATACTAATTGTACTGAAATACTTGAGTCTCTAATAGAGAAA